AAGAGAAAGAAAGAGAAGAGAAGAAAGAGAGAGAGGAGAGAGAGAGAGAGAGAGAGAAGCCCAGAATGCATGTAGATAGACACTGGCATTTTGGACAACACTCATGTTAGCTAACAAGGACTAAAATCTAGCAAACCATGAATGGAACATACCGAGACCCCCAATGACAAAAATCTGACGACACTGAGAAGAAATTTTGTGGATCATCCACATATTTGCCAAGCAACTGTCCATACATGGCTTCACTTTCAGCCTTAAGAGCACCAACGAGAATGGGTACAACTTTAACTTGGTGCCTGCATCAGTGTCGTCAAAAGTCAGCCATGCCATAAATAACTATAGAAGAGAACTGTGCTATGAACAAAATTAATAAAGATATATTGAAAAACATACCCCTCAAAAACTTTAGCAAGATACGGTAAGTGCATTTCCATGCTGTGTTCAGCCTCATCAACGCGAATATCCATCAGTTCAAATTTTCCAGTTGCTTTTAGCTCCTCAATTACTGATAAGTGAAAACAAACAGAATGTTAGAAAACCACAAATTAACAGGGATGAGTTAACTCCTATAAAAGAAGCGTTTGGTAATTCATTGAGAAGATATTTTATGCGTTGATTGAAAAGGGAAAATGAGCACAAACAATTTTGTGCTGCTTGAAACTGGCTGGTTTCAAGTGAAATTAACAATGCCCCGTAAATTTTGTCATTGCTGTTGGTATCGGTGGCAGCTTCTTTGGTCCTCTTCAAACAAGTCTCTTTAAATAAATAAATAAATAAATAAATAAATAAATATAAATAAATAAATAAGGGTTTTGCCGGCCAGCCATACTCTATCTAAGTCATGCATGTGCCAATGTGGATTAGAAATTAATTAGTAATTGAAAGAAAAAAGTAAATCAACAGTACGGAAGACCAAGACAAAAAAATAACAATTCCAAGTTACCCAGATTTAGACAATGAGATTCACACTACCTTCCAAATCGATAGTCAGGTCCCCTATGGGGGTCTTGTAAACTGTGGCTGTTGAAAGAGCACACTTTGGAGTGTAATAGTGGTGAGATGGACCAAGAAGGAACACCCGGGTACTGAACAAGCAAGTTTCTCTCACACATTAGCAACAATTTGACAGCTCTTTCCCATACCAATCAATCTTTACAGGTTTAATTATGCGTCAAAGCACAATTACTAGAACATAATCAGCTCGCATTACGATCCTACATTATCAAAATAGCATTAGAGAACTAACGAGAAAACAACAAGAACACAACTCACATGTTTGTTGGGTCTATGTTGCCAAATGCATAGGCAGCAGCACGACCTGAATATGAATAACCTGCATGCCTGTAATTCCAAGGCCAAACACAGAAAAATACAAACAAAAACAAATTATTTTAAAAATTAAAATTTCAGCTTTTATTTTTATTTTTATGAATTATAAGCCAAAATGAAGAAGAGTAAGAAGCAAAGCAGGTCTATGTTAACTTACGGAGCAATGACACCTCGGACATCAGGAGATTTAGTGAGCCCAGATTCTCTCAGCCATCCTTCAAGTTCTTCCGACAACTTCCTAGCTGAAAAATGAAAAATGAAAGAATAAAAATGTATTTTTTTTACACAAATAATCTGATAAATGAATTTTCTCAAAAGCAACCAAATTTGGTTCTTGGGATTTCTCGGCAACCAAACAGATATGAGGAGGGAATTAGAGTTGAGCGAGAGAGAGATACTGACGGTTATCGGTGTACCAGGAACCAGCATGCGATGCTCTTCTGGCTTTCTCCATAGATGGAATTTCGGAGGATGAAGATGAGAAGGAGCTGAAACCCTAATTAATAATATGTGCAAATAATTGAAGTAACAGAGAGTGAGAAAGACAGAGAATTGAGATGCCTCTGTGTGTGTGTTTGTGTGTGTGTGTGTGCAAGTTGCCTTTCTTTATGGAAGAGCTTTGGAGTTGGAGAGACTTGGAGAGAGAGAGTGGTGGTGGGTGCGTGACGTGTTGAAACAAAATTAGAATTTTTTATTTATTTTTTTTCAATTTAATTCCGCGGAGCCAAACTTTTGTTGTTTGCACCCTTCTCATCTCACTCCTAATTTTCTCTTTTTCTTTTTTGTCATTGGGTTATAAAGAGATTCCATTACGGTTTATCTTTCTCATCACCACGTAGCATATCATGTGATAAAATAAAAATATATATATAATTTTAAGTATCAAAGATGAAAAAGTTTTTTATAATCACGCAACGAAAGAGATACAAATCTGTAAATGCACATGACAGCTCTCAGTTAAACCGAATTAATTGATGGTCGATTCGAGTCAGTTTTTTTTTACTCAACCTTTCGACTAATCAGTGTGGAGATACAGGTGTATATACACTTCAGTGTGGGTAAGTTTTTATCATCAGTGTGGACCAGATTTTTGTTTCGGCCTAGCCTGATCGATCGATCCAAAAAAAGATCGAAAAAATCAAACTCTCGTCGTGAGTGTGGAATAAAGTGTTTTATCGCTTAAGTTATAAGCCCCAGTACGGATTGGATTCGAACGAAATCCCCAGCATTATGTAGGCTGGCGTCCAATGCCTGAAGCTTATACGATGGTATTCTTCTTAATGCATGTCCAGGGAAGAACAGAATTCAAATTCAATCAAACAGTTGGGGATGAACGAGGTAAAGGAATAATAGCATTCTCTGCTATTGTATAACAATCACAAATGTCACAACAATACAACTTACAAATGACACTCTATGATAAATGACAACAAACTTGGCCCAATAGGCCACAGCAAGCAGCAAAATAATGTTACTGCTGCTTATTCTTTGAATGAACAAATCCAATCATATACCCTATGCCCCCAAAACTTTGAAAATTACCCTAAAGAATCTTACAACAAAACGAAACAAATAAGCTCACTGGCATTTTGCAACCCAGTCACAAACACTCAAATTCAAACACTACGGAAAACTTTCTGTTTGCTCCCAAAGCAAACAAGATGCTGAACCTGAACACAAAAGTCCATTGACAGAAGAAAAGACCTGCAATCACCAAAAAGTAAAAACCAGAGAGGTTATGTTTCATTCAGTATGATATATGATTTTGCACCGACCACGAAGATTCAAAGAAGTATAAATCAATGTAAAACATAACATAACCAGATAATGGTTGGTAAATTAACTACTTAGAAGCTAGAGGCATGGATTCTGAGTAATGAATCCGCTTGAAAGTTAAAACTATGTCTGTCTTCGGTTAAACAATGAGCTTTCAACATATTGTGCGGTCTCAAAAATCCATTTAAATTCTATTACAATTCATCCATCTTCTAAAGAATAGCAAGAGCATGCCAATGTTAAATAGTTTTAAAAGGCAGCATGATTATAAAATTCTCAAATTTAAAAAGCCAAGTTACCTGTGCAACCACACAGCCTGTGAAAGTTGAACTAAGGCAACCTGAAGAATTTGTTTTCGTGGAAAGCCTCTAAAGGATACCCAACTATCAACAAAAAAATTCAAGCATGCTCCAATATAGAATGAAGTTTTGGAACCCGGCGACGCAGCAACGGCTCCAGCCGAAAAGAGGGAACACCAAACTGCCACCTCTTAGCATCATACATTTCATTCCACGCCTGTATTATCTCATCGATTTTGAAGCCTAAACCTGCATTTAAATGAAAATTGATCGTATGTTTCAAATTCTAACAGTTGTAAAAAATTTGAATTAACATGTGTCTTTTACCTTCTAATGCAGTTTCATTGGAACAGTGGTTCTTCATCATCACAGCTATATCCGTTGGAGAGGCTCCACAAAGCTCAAACTTCTCAACAGAAACTTCTAAACATTCCTCCCAACTTGGTAGCCCTAGCTTATATTCCACAACAGAACGTTCATACAGCACGGTTCCCCATAAAAGGTATATCTGTGACTTCATATTTGCAGCCTGCTCTGCAGCTTCATCAGCAGATACCTCTTTAAACAAGCCATCCAAACCCAATTTCTGCAACTGCGCTTTATATTTATCTTCTTTGGCAAGTCCATTTAGACGCCGCTCTTCTATCTCCTCCCACATCAGCATGCCCTTCTCCATGCTGTCCTCAGCCTTGTTATAAAGCTGAAGCACCTCCGAAGAAGGCTCCGTTTCTAGCTCAATCTTGCTTCCAAGCGCATAGTACCAACAAAGCTTTGCTTGGTCGAACTGTTGTTGCCCGAGAGCAAGATAACCTTCATAAAAGTCGGGTTTTATTTTCACAGCTTCTTCATACCTACCCTCTGCCTTCTTATACTCTTTCTGTGCCCAGTCATAGCCAGCCTTGATCTGTTCAATAATGGAATCCCTTGAAGCATCTTCTGGAAAGGACACTCGCTTCCTTGCCTTAGACATGTGGACATTTCCCCAATTAAACAATGCCAAAGCCGCCATCTCTTGGAACTTATTTGCAGCAATGTCAAAAAGTTCTTGAGCATCCTCAATTGTTACAGTGTCCTCCATTGCCTCTGAGTATAGCTTCACTCCAAGCTCATGAAGATCCAAGTAAGCATCAGAATCGAACCCAACATGGTTCTTGAATAACCTTGCAAACTGGATAATCCAGTCCTCAACAGAAGTAAACCTTTTCTCCACTTCTCTATCTTTTTCACCATCCCCATTCTCTACAACATTGCTTCGTTCTCTGTCTTCCTTACTCAGCTCCTCATCACTCAATCCCTCATAAATTGGTTCTTGATCAGGACTAACTTCTGCTATAAATAACCTGAGTGACCCCTGCATATCACATGATGATTCAGCTATCCTCAACTCATCTGTAGTAGTGATTGTAACCAAATCGCCCTCTTGGTCTCTATACTTAACAAGAACACCCTTCAAACCAGGAAACCGATCCCTAACTATCCCCCTGACCAACCTCATGCTGCAATTCAATGGCAGTTGTGCCCACCTTATATCCTCTCCAAACACCAACTTGACTGTCTTTGTAACTACTTTTTCTTCCTTAACATGCTTCATAACCACTTTCTCTTCCTCAACATGCTTTGTAACTACTTTCTCCTGCTCAATGGTCTTTGTAACCACTTCTTTATCCTTATCAGCACTCACATTCTCTTCCACAACGACCTTATCCTTCCTCTTCTCCTCAACTTTCTTACCCTTCTTCTTCTTTAACTTCTCTTTCACCACTTTACGAAAGCGGGCAGCAGGAGGCTGCGGTACATTAGCAATACCAATTTCTTTCTCATCAAGAACAATACCCTTTTCACTCATCACCTTCTTCACGCTCTCCAAAATCTCCAATGCACTTAGATTATTTGGTTCCATACTCAAAACAGTATTAACATCTCTCAATGCCAAATCCAACCTATTCAAAGCCTCATAACACTGAGATCTTCTTAAGAGTGCTTTACTGTATCTAGGTGATACCTCTAACGCCAGATTACATTCGTTGATTGCTCGAGGATATTCACCAAGACCCATTTGCATATAACATGCAGCCATGCTGGTATGTAGATGAGCAACTTCAATATGATTCTGTGGGAGGAGTTTGAGGGCTTTTTCAAACTTTAACATTGCGCCTTCATGATCACGCTTTTGATAAAGTTTGTTACCTTCATCTTTGAGTTCTTGGGACATGTTGATGAAGATTGCAGTGTCTTCATCAAAAGCTTTGGAGTTTCGATCCGAGGGCTTGCTCAGCTTACTGCCAGCATTCCCAGGCTTTTGTACCTCCTCATCTTTCTTCTTCCCAGTTGGCTTCCCCATTGATATTTCAAAAATACGCAGACAAAGAAGAAGACCCCAATAACAGAGCTTTTAAAGCTCGGGTTTTTATCTTATCCAAAAACCCTTTCAGCAACTCATAAAATAAGGAACATTCAAATAGTTCCCTGATAATTAAGCAAAACCTTAATAAACTTGCAGCTGATAAAACCCAATTCAAAAGTATTTAAAACTGTGATTAAAAAAAAAACAACAACAACTCCAACAATTTAACACACAAAATAATAATAATAATAATAATAAACCAACCCAGAAATGGAAGCTTAAATCATTTTCATACACAAAGTTTCAATCAAAACACACTTCAGAAAAAAGCAATAACGAAAGAAAAATGAAAAACCCAGACCCCAAATCCTAATTCCAGAAATGAACTACAGAAAAAAACAATGGAAAGACAACAAAAAAATCCAGTCTTTTTAACCTGGCTTCTGTTCTCAAAGCTCCAAATCAGCAATTGGTGGATAGTGATCCAGAGACAAACAAGAACCCAATCAAAAATTAATTGAATTAGAATGATTGTGCTCTGGAATTGTTGAGAAGAGAGAGAGTGGATATCAATGGTGTCTCTGGCTGCAGAATAAATGCAAGGAAACGACACTTCATTTCATCCTGGAAGGGGAAGTTCTCTCTCCTAGGGTTTCCTGAACGAAAGGTCAACGTTCCAAAGTGGGGTGGTCGTCCCCCACCTTCCATGAGCGCGCGTCTCTCTAACGCCCCTCTCTTCACTCTTCAGTCAGCCTAATTCGTCGGATTTTATGCCCATATTTCTTTTTCGACGCCATATTTCTTTTTGTCAGTTTTTTTTTCCCCGCCCTATTTATTAATATTATTAATTAATTTTCTTTTTTTTTTTTTTTTTTTTTTTTTTTCCCCCGCCATATTTATTAATATTATTAAATAATTTTCTAGAATTTTGCACGAAAGTCCGAGAAAAATAGAATTCGAGCCAGTAGCGTGTACACCACGTGCCTAAAGGAGCTGGGGCGTTGGAGTAGCGCCCAATCCAGGGGCAAACATTCAATTATCCAGCTGTAATTAATTTTATCGTCATTAAGCTTAATATAAGATATAAAATCCCAGTGGGCTCCACCTCCCTTCTAGACGACAGAGCATATTCCGCTAATCCAGCAAAAGAAGCACTATTAATTCCTCACGTGGATAAATATTTCTCTTTTTATTTTAAGGAATAGTATTAGGTTCTCTCTTCTCATTTTCCGAAGGAATATTAAGCATCGAGACTACACATACATCAGCAAACAGAAACCATCACCTATGGAACTCGTTTCAACCAGTTAATATTCGTAGGTTAACACGAAATGACCTGTGAACGTAATGTAATAAATTTCTAACTGATTCACTCGAAGCGATACACTTCAACTCGGACATTGGTACACCGATATTGCCAGTTTCAAATTGTGTTTCTAAATTTGGTTTTGTAGAGCTTAAAAATAATCGTGGGATGTGATGATTGAGATGAGCTAGCGAGGCGTCTGGTTAGTGGTGGCTCGTACATTAGTTGTGGTTATGGTCGAGAGATAGTGCTGGGTAATAATGGTGGCAAAGCTGGCAATGGTGACCTACATGTGTTGGCAGCTCACATGGCACTGGAGATTTGGAAAGAGCAAAGCAAATGCAAATGCTGGTGATGATAGATCAACACTGAAACTGCATTAGAGATTATTGGTTTAAACGAAACGAAACTAAAGGAATCTGCGAATGAAAGCAAAATTGACAACTTTTCAGTTTCTTTTATTGACCAGCAAGCTACATACATAACAAAGGAATGGTTGCTCGAAAAACATGCGAAACACACACAAAATGGAACTTTTACGTGTTTTACATTAGATATAGGGGCAAGAGGAGGAGCACATTACAACAGTTGAATGTCACTGTTTCAGATATAACTTATCTAGCTACTTACAGGTTTACATTTTACGAATTTACAAGAGGATTCATCCCCTTGAACTATCAAACCAGTATCAACCTAACGTTACCCGTAGGGTCCATGCAGCCAAATCTAATTAGTCGAGAACCATGATTCCTGTATCCACGTGTTGAGCAATGTCCCTTCCCCGTTGGTGTAAAACTCTAACAAACTCGGCTAAGCTTAAATTTCCATCTCGGTTCGAATCAAACACATGGAAGATGATTTCAACCACATTGTCAGTGAGAGATACGCCACAAACCTGATATTCAATCAACACAATCACGATAAATAATTTGGATATGGAAATCTGTTGCCTATGGAAGATAATCAGAACCATATGTCAAATTAGAAAAAGAAGACTTATCAGTGACAACTTAAGGCAACAGTTCCAAAAGGCTCCGTAAACTTCCAAAAAGTTCTGGTAACCTTGTCAAAATGTAAAACATTAGCCATGGACCAATTAAAGAAAGTGACAAACAAGAATATCTTACATGAGAAGCAGCTCGCTGGAAATCCTCTTGTGTTAACATGCCATTTGCTTTTCCATAGCTGAAAAGGGCCAAAGACAATGGCTGCAATTTTTTACGAAGCTCAGCAAAACTTTTGAATTCCTCAAATGTGATGCGCACGTCTTTAAGATGTGGTTTATTGTTCAATTCATCAACCCGATTGAGCAAATTGCTTAAATGAGTCATGTCGGCAGAAGCAACCATGGACAAGGCAAAGTCCTTTGCCAATATGGTTCCTCGTAATTTATAGTCATAGTGAGCAAACTCCAACCTTACCATCTACAAATAAGCTAAGTAGTCAAATAAAGTGTGAATTTTGAATCAGAACAAATTTCTGGGGTAAAATGCATTCTGAGCATACCATAAATTAAAGGATGCATTACGGCTTACCTCAATTGAAAATATATTAACGCATCTGCTATTGAAATCCACAATAAAAGTTACGAGTACTTTTTTCTTTTGGGTGGGGTAGCCTAAACCTAAATGAGTAGAAGGTGAGGTAAGTTCTGATATAAACTAGAGGTCAGGCAAAAGCAAAGCAATAACACTAGAGTGGAAGGATAGCACGCATATAATGCACAATGTCAATCTTATGCAATAAAATTGATGTAGTAAACTTAAAACATTCTAAAATTCAAGGGAATCGCAGAATTGGGAGCTTACTTCATCTTGTAAATCTCTCAAAAATTTGACAAATTTATCAAGTTGGAGGCAATCCTTCCCATCTTTACCAAAAAAGTACTCGACAAGCCCTCCATTTTCTACAGAACCATTGACTTTTAGCCCAGTTCGAAGTCCATGCCTGTGGTTAGCACCCTGTCTATTGCAGGCTCGCATCAAAGCCATCACTTTCTTGAACTCTTCCTTATCGATTTCTCTATGTATGGATATAAACAGTCAAAGTCAAAACCGTAGCGGAAGTAAGGAAGAACAAGAAGGAAAAAGAGAATAGCCTCAAAGTTGTTTAATACCAACCCACTATCGTCTGTGTCAAACATTTTAAAGGCGACATAAAAACTTGATTCTGGGATGCTTAGTAGTGTCACAAAGAAAATATATCTGTTACAAAGAACATTGTTAGAGGGGAAAAATATCCTTCATTGATTCATTGTTTACACCAAAGGCCATAAAAGCAGCAACTTACTCTTTAAAAGAAATATGCCCATCATTGTTTACATCAAAAAGCATGAAAAATTCAGAAGGAGAACAGCGCAAATCTCCAGGATTTCTTTCCCCTCTCAAATATCCATCTCTAACAAGGTGGGACTCAGATGGAGGGAAAACCGGAACTACTGCCCTCATAAGATCTTCTGGCCTCATAAGTAACTCTCCCTCTGGCGTACTAGAGGATGCAAAATACTCAAAAACCTTCATGTAAAACAGCATATGTCATTGGACAAGAGGTAAATTGTTCATTAATCAAAGCCCCAATGGTTAAATTTTGCTCAACAAAAATTTAAACTTGACTGTCAAGCATATGCAAAGAGTTTAGGATTTGTAGTCAATAACCCCAGGACATGAGATCTACCTCATCAGCCATTGTCAACTTAACTTATAAATACTAACGCGAATCGAATTGTCATAGTTTTTCAAATTTGAAATAAACTTTTTGAACTGTATCCTAGTTCTTGTAATTCTTTTCGACACAAGCACTTAATTTCTAAGGCTTGCTTAACATACTGGTAAATTTGCCAATGACAAAATATGCAAGATTAGGCGCTAATAAACAATTAAGCAACAGAAAATCAATAATTATATAAGCTCGTGTAATCATATTAATATGGATTACCTTCTCAGGCGGACTTCGCAACCTAATGCGTTTCTCATAGTTAAAGAAGATCTTTCTTCTATAAGCATCTGCAGTAATCCAACACCAAAATCAAACAAACAAATACGATATCCAAAAGAAACTGAAATGCTCAAAGTAACTAGAAATGACTTGCCTCCGAAGAGAAACCTAGCGGTAATTTCGGGCAAAGATAGTTTCTGGAACAGGGAACTCGAAGGCTGATCCTCCAAAGTTTCTCCCGGGACCACCGTCGACCAATCGGCGAAAGTCAAGACCGAATCGGGAGAAGACCAGTAGAGAAGCCCTAGCCCCGAGCCCATAGCGAAGCCCGATATCCATTTAAGGAAGGAGCCATAAGATGGGTTTTGGTGACGGTTAGAGTCGAAGCTCGAGGCAGTGATCAGAGACGAGAGTGACGATGATGATGGCTGTGGTGCGGTGGACAAGTGGCGGATTGAGAACCATTGGTGGATGGACGGTGTGGATCTTGTTAGGGATTGTAAGCGGGACATGGGAAAAATTGCACGAAATGTTGCAGAAGTGTGGACGGAGACGACGACGTTGTGAAAGTTAGTTGGAGAAGGTAAGGTGATATATGGGGATTTGGGCTATCTGATTTTAGATTAAAACCAGGGGCGCGCGCGCGTAGTATGAAGGTCGGTCGGTGATTTGGCTATGAGCCTGAAAAGGCCCACGTTTGATTGAACCGAGCCCGTACATTTTAATGTGATTAGCGCTTTTAGCCCAACCCATATTTTAATGCCCTAGCCCAACAAGTTTGACATGTTGTGCCCTAAATGGTAATTTAGACCCAAAATGGAACACTTAGAGATTTTCTCTCCCCTTTTTGAACCCGCGTGAGCCACACAACACACGTTTGAATTTGTTGTCCCTACTTCTAAATGATGGCATTTCTTTTGGGAGAGTACTTCTGAAATGATTTGAAAGCGTTTTAAACAGCCACAAGTAATGTTGCATGGACCCATGTATGTGCAACATAGACCACAAGTGCTTCTGATTGCATTTGATATGAAAATTTTAAAAAAAACCTTACGAAAAATAAAACCACTTTTTAGAGAAGCACCTAATATATGCTTATTCATAAAATGCTTATGAGCATAAGTGTTTTCTTTACAAACTCAAAGAAAACAACCCGAAATAAATAACTTAGGAGGTTTTATGTACTAATTTGCTGAATTCATAAAGATCGTGTAGCAACTTAAAATCAACCATACATATAATTTATAAAATTTTATCGATTTAACCCTTTTAATTATGAAATGAGAACAGGGGATCGTCCTCCTAAGAACACAAAACTGGGTGGTGTATATGTAAAGTTAAAGATTTCATGAATGTCTGTTGATGTTTTGGTAGGTAAAACATCCCAATATGCACAAAAATACATTGGTTGTTGTGGTTCCAATTCTTAGACCAACGCTTGTGAGACGAGGGGAGGGCCACAACGCTAAATATTTAAAGTCATTTTCACAACTGTGTAGGCAAAATTGCTTTGACAGATGTCAGATTCTAGCAAATTAGATTTGATTTTAGTAAGAGTGAGGGTGAGTTATGGGTTGTCGTTGTTGAACCTTTGGGGGACCATGTCAGCATCCAAGCCTATGACGTCTCCATATTGTCGGCTATGTGACAAACACAGAGCCATTATCTTCTCACAACCCAAAAGGGCTAGGGCTCATGAATAATTTAAATCAGTCAGTTATCCCCGAACTCACGTATTGTGTGTACATTTGTATAGATCCATGGAGCAATTCAGTCAAAATGCATTCAAAGTGCATGTCTTGTTCGTTCACGTCAATTCGATTTCCACATTTTTCTTACTTTTCGATTAACAAAAAAGTTGTCTTTTAAGAAAGCATGTTTGTTTCTTGTTGTTCTTATCATCATTATTGATATAGTCTAGACATATGTTAGTAAAATTTGCTACTCTTCTCCTCAATTAACTTAAATTATTAAAATTCATACCTAATAATTTCAAAGTGTTTAACGTAAAGGCAGGGCTAAGAGTTTTATAAGAGTTGACTATGATTTTATTTTATTTTTCGTTTAAATGTATGAACTTGCTAAAAATCACCGTTAAGTTCATATTTTTTAAGTATTTGCACTGCGTAAAAGCACACTATAGCCTAAAGGTGTTTTTGTCCTTGATTTAACGCATAAGAGGATTTCTAGACATTGATGTATGTGAACCACAATAAATCAACAATCAAAATCTCCCACACGTGTGTGACCAATTAACCGTAACAAACCTTTTTTATCTGAAGAAAAAAACGAAGTAGGAATTGCATGTAAATCCTGCGAGTTTGCCTTTTGTTGTGTAGCCAGATCGAAAGGGTCTTAATTGGTAAGCTGTCTTGTTTGGTCCAATTCGAGTTGAGGTAGATTTATTCAGTAACTAAAGATAGGGCGTCGTCAACCTCAAAACTCAAACATCTCGAGTGACCCCACATCCGTTCCTTACAAGAAAAGAAACATACTATCCTTTTCCTATTCCTCCCTTATCCAACGACGTCGTATCGTGGATGCCACTTTCACAAGTAATTCAATGGAAAGAATTGGACGTGTCAACAACCACTCAAAAAAGTTTTGAAGATGCTTTCTCAATCAAAGGTCTGGTCCACATTGAATTTTGATGGTCCATCCAACTCATTCGTCTTGCTTTTTCCTTTTTTCCTCTTTTGTTTTCTTTTTGGTCCTTGTATTTTCACTTTTTTCCAATCATGGCACCGATCACGCTTGGCGTCAGATTAACGTAAATAAATGCGGCCAGGTCATGCTCTTTGGCCTGTACTTCCTTTTCTGCTCCTCCATCACGTCAGCAATTAATGGAAGAGAGCTGTACTTTCACTGAATGTTTTCATTCAATTTCTCCCAAATTGATGCTTTCCTTGCTAGTATTGAGAATTTTTACTGTTTTACTTGAACAATTTGAGCCACATACTCCTCACGGTAACTTTGCTTCATAGAGTAAATATTTTTGTTATTTAACTGCGATTTTTTCCTTTTATTTTATGTTTTAAATGAGATTTTTTATTTTTTTGTAAATAATCATATAATATTTCTTTTAAAGTCAGGAGTGTTGTAGAAGGTTCATTTGTCCATTTCGTCCTTGGCTTCCACAAATTGAGTTCAAGGCCATATTTTCAAATTTCAAAGCCTTCAAAAGTCCATGAAAATTAGTCAATAACTTCACACCTGCAACAGAACCGCCAAAAATAAAAACAAAAAGTTTGAAATTTTCAAACCAAAGCAACAAATAAGTTAATAAGTCTACAATATAACAAATAATAAACACAACACAAATAGTATTAACAAACAGTAATAATTAACGGAAAAAGAAAGAATATACCTCGCAAAGAGAGTAACGCAACCTTGTAAAGCACTACGGCAGACTGAACGGAACACACGTAACGGAACACGGTAACGATGATGACGACGGCCAACGGAACCCATAACACGGAACTGAACGGAACGGACGGTGACGGAAACGGCAAACATAACGGATAACCCCAAATGCTGCACACACAAATGGAATGAACGGCTGTGTCACAAAACCAAACTGAACCAAGTCTTTGCAACTTCTGAATGCAAATTATTACTCTGTTAATTTTCCTTAATCCAGTTTTAATTGAGAGATTTGTTTAGGGAAAAGATTAAATGTCCGAAAACTGTCCTTCCAATTTTCCATAGCAAATCATATCATTCAACTGTACAATATGGAGTTTCTCTTTCATAGTGTTTCGGCGTGACGCTCCGTATCCCAGAGCGCAATACTCGCCGGCTCCACTCGGCCCCTCCGCTTCGTGACTCGCCCGAGTTGAGTTGACCTCAGCTAAAACCGTCGGATCTGCTCGGATCAATAGCGGCGGGGCTGTGTGGCTCCGAGTTGACTCACCGGGTTCAAAGATCGGAAAAAAATGAAGAAATGACCGGAAATTAACCAACCTGACCTGTATCTTTCTGTTACTCTGTAAAACAAAATCAGAGAGATCATCGCCGATAGTAACTCAGTCACTTGTCGTCGGTGGTGGACATGGCCGAGAGCCGGCTCGGCCTCGGCTGGAAGCCGGCTCTTCGCCTCTGCTGGTGGGCGCAAGGGCGGATCAGAGCGGTCAGGGCTCGCTTCACCCACTCACCTTCGACTCCACCGATTCGAACCAGCGAGTTCGTCATAGCAGATCTGCGCATGTTCAGCCTGTTCGTTGGATACGGAGCTGCGTTGTGACCTCCGCCGACGTTCTTGTGAAGGCTGCAGCGAAACGACCCCGGATGCGACGTCGGCGAGCACATACAGGTCTTCTTAGGCATCGAGATCGGGCCATTTTTCTTCGAAACGGTGATGGATCGATTCGAGTGATTCGGAGAGATCGAACGGTGGTCGATGGAGAAGCGGACGGATGGAGAAGGGGCGGAGGAGGTGTACAGGTTGACACGTGTCGGGGAAGCGGATCGGTGGTGATGGTGGTGGTTGATCTGCTGATTGTAGTAGTGGTGGTCCTTGTGGTGGCTGAAGAAGGCGGAGGTCGGAGATGAGAAGCTAGAGCTTGTGGACGAAGCAAAGCCCGAAGCGGAAGATGAGATGGAGGCATTTGAGGCCGTGTAAAACCTTCCGGAAGGTGAGAGCGAGCGAAGAACTGGTCCGCTTGACCTGGTTCTCGCTCTCGATGATGAAGACGATGCGGTAGCCATTGGAGAGTGTTTAGAGAGAGAAAGCAAGAGATCTAGGAAGAGAGATGAGAGAGAGAGAGAGAGAGAGAGAGAGAGAGAGAGAGAGAGTGTTTTTTCCCCTAAGGGCCCCCTAGGGCGTTTGGTCTGGCACAC